AATCTGGGCCCAGTCCAGAACCTGGAAGGACATAGTAACCTTCCTCCGTTCTGAAAAGTGATCATTTAGCCCGGAGATGTGAAAGACTCAGCCCACAGAGCCCTATCATCCACCCTGCTGTGTCACTTGTCACAGCCCCACACACACACACATGCCTTCACCCCAGACAGGCCACCCACAGCTTCGTTGCACTCTCTCCCAGAGCCCTGCGGTTGTGCATTCTGGCCCCGGGCCCAAACCCCACGCACCAGCCCAAACCAAAGAGAAAGATCAATGGATTGATAAAGACAAGGACAGGGAAGATGGTTTTCTCTGAAATTTCTAGGGCAGCCCAAGTGTTTTAGGCTGTTTGGTAGAAGTATAACATGGCTGCCCTTAACGTGGTTGAGCCTAAAAAGTGAATATAGGAATAAATTCCTAGAGACCTCAGCACTGCTTGAGAATCCTCCATGAAATGGAAAACCACTTCAGATTGTACATTAAGAAATTTGTACCCCACAAAAAGATCCTGAATTGTAATCCCTTCAGAGTTTCTGAGCATTTGAGCAAAGGGTGTCTCCTTGTGGCAACACAGGTAACTATGGATCTAGAAACCACATGTGCAGATTCATGTGCCACTTAAGAGATGTATGCCCTGTAAGTTTTTCCTCTACACCAGTGGTACTCTTATCTTCTGGCTGCAAAGGCAACGTAAGTGACATAGGGCTAGTGTGCAGATCTGATTGGGCCCCATGCTGCCCAGCCTGGCTCGCTCACCACCCCCCACCCCACGCCAACCCAATAAACCCCATACACTCAATTTTGTAGGCAGGAACAAGCTATCCAGCCCACAAGGCTTCCCATGGATCTAGAAATTTGACAGCAAGGCAGTGGCAGTGAATTGCTATCACTGCCCTGTGGGCTAGGGGTTAACCATCCCTGCTCTACATCCTACACAGCAAGTCATATGGAAATGAGATAGATGTTACAGGCACCGCACCTTATGAGCGAATGACAATATAAGCACTCAAAGGATGTGATCCTGCATTTCATATAGCCAATTCTGCTCAATCAATCCAGAGTTAACCCTTTCACAGCTGCTCTCAAATGGCTTCTAATAATATGCAAGACCATAAAGAAAGACCTTTGAGAAGAATACTATATGGGCAACAAGAAAAAAAAGTCATATTTAAACTCCTTATATGGCATATACTGGTCAAGATATTTAACTTCCAGGAAAATGCACTACTGTAGACAGACAGACAAAAATGGAGGTGGTATCAGGGTAGTTAATACCAGCATAATCTATATCAAGGACTCCAGTGCCAAGAGGTCAGCATCAGGCAACCAGAGTCACTACAGAAAACAGTTGCAATGTATGGTAACCAGAGGCACTGTTCTTAGGTTTCGCCAGATTCTTTTCTCAGATAACTGAAAGAGCTCTACAGCTTCTTGAAACTTCTGTATGTGTGGCAGGAGGGGGAGAGGGAATATTAGATTAGATACCTTTACAGATTTAATATAAAAATCCTTTTCTCCTTGTGACCTCTGAGGTTTTACCAGTTACAGAGGATGACTATTTAGAAATAACTGTTTGAGATCCATAAGCAAAGGAGCCTGCAGCAGCACTCCGAGACCAAGCACTCAACCTGGCTCCAGCCATTCCAGGATATGAAGAAGGACCTATTTACCCGTGCAGAAGAAACTTCTTCAGATGAGACTCCCAGACTCTTTGGGTTCTCTTTGACAGCTATAAGTTAGACAGCGATATTATGTGCCCTTCACCCAGACACCCCCTAGGCACCTAGTGTACTCATCACTGAAGTGCACTGCTGCCTCATATTAAGGGTAAATAAGGGTAATTTTTAAAGCTTGGAGAATGATATTTAGTCATAACAACTGGTCCTGATACCTGGGCAGTCCCCACAAGCCAAAAAAAGGGAAAGACATTTTCTTCTAGTGGAAGCAGAAGAGACACCAACAAAACTGCTAGGCTAATGCTAATAATTGACCAACTTTTAAGTACTTATTTAAAACTATTTACGATACACAGACAATATATCAAGCAAAAAGCTTGATCCTTGTAAATTCCAACCTGTAGCCACAGGTGTCAAGAAGATGCATAGGGACAGCTGGAGTTGTCTAACCCTTTGTGTTCTTGGATGAGAGGCACAGATATATTCATGGAGCGAGTGTGGACACAACAGACACTCCTGGATAAAATAAGTTTGACCTTGAACACACTGAACCTCTGTGCACTGACAGTACAAAATATATAGACAAACATTCAGAATGAAAGTATCCATCTCCTTTTCTCCTACTCTTCTCAGTTTACTTCAGCTGTTTTTAACACCTTTTTCATGCTGTTTTCACTACTACTTTTACAATTTCTAACGAATGTTTTTTCCCTGAAGAAGCCTTAATAAAGTGAAAGTTGTTCATTCTCAGAGGAAGATAATATTCTTACTAAACTCCGCAGCATGCTATGCAACTTAAAACCATACTGCATGACCACAGAACATAACATCTAAAAACCTCACTGGAGAAGAAGAAAAAAATGGGAAAGCCCCAACTGGTTAACAAGGAAGTGCAACTCGGTGGCAAGTCCTCCATGCCATTTCCCCTTCCCTCCTATGCAACTTGTTCTCCCCTGGGTATATGCACTAGTTCTGACCAAAAATATGCTGTCTACACGGGGGATTTACGGATGAAACTCTGGTTAGGAGAGAAGGGAGGCAGACTTAAAAGGGACAGTAATGAAAACTAAACCCTATTTTGGTTTATTGTACCTGTTGAAACACTCTAAAAGAGGCACTAAACTTCTAGAGACAGGAACCACATTGAGAGAATTCTGCTTACTTCCCGTGTTTGTTTGTTTTCATACTATTGGTGTTATTTGCATGAAAACAGGAAATTTCAATGCTTTCTCTGCACCTGCAGCTTTTCCTTCACCTGAAATCTCAGTTGGTGTCTGTGGTAATGACTATAAGGGACACTAACTCAACATAGTCTTTTCCATGTTTAATTACTCTGTTCCTCTATCAAAGGTAGGTTTGTACTATTATACAGTAAGATTTCTCTCTATATAATTTATCTGATTTTACTGCAAGCTATCCTGAGCCTCTTCTGGGGAGGGCAGCATATAAATCAAGCAAACAAGCAAAACAAACACAGACAAAAATTTCAGCTGCAAAGAGAGGATTCAGTCATGGTACTTTACTTCCCCTGCCAAGTCGCACTCACTTTTTTATAACAGATGCTGTTTGGAAATATACACGCCTGTCTATATTTATATCATGCTTCTGTTCCATAGTATCTGTAACACCCAAGAAACCTCTTCATTACCAGTGTTTGCTTCCAAGTCATCTCAATGGGGCTTTTGAAACTAAATTACTTATTCTTCTCCTGTGTAAAACTTTCTCCTATTCAACCCACTAGTACAGCACAATTACCAATGCTGTTTCTACCTTAATGTCCACTCCCTAACATACAGGAGTCCCAGCCATTAGGGCAGCTTTACTTAAGTCAGAGCACAGCTTTTAATTAGAGGCTTTTTTCTGCCCCTGTTTTACAAATCAAAGTAGGACTTTCCCCACCAACTAACAATGAACCCAAGAACCTAAGCCTGAAGTTTATCCTCAAGTGACTTGGAATTAAACCAAGACCAAGCCACTGTCTTGCTATCTCAGATCCCAGTTTGCAAAGAACCATACCTGTCCAAGTCACTCAGATTATCACTCGGTGAACCCAGTCTATCAGGCAACCTCCTTCGCTCTGAGCCAGTGCAATACCGATCATTCCCAACAGTTATCCGCAAACTCTGCTCCAGTGAAGACTCGGAACGGAGGCTTGGAGAATGTCTCTGCAACGGGAAAGAACAAGCCAATCAATTACAAAATTGTATGCGGTGTCACAAAAACAGCAACTGAGTCTGTCCTGCTCAGCATATTAGATTTGGGGTGGGTGAATCGATAAGAAATATGCTAAAAGTACAATTATTCTATTTATCCCTACCACGCAGTTTATTTAAAAAAAGGGGGGGGGGGGAAGAGGGGCACGAAAGAAAATTGAGTATAGTTATAG